TTCCAGCGACAGGCTCATCACCCCTCCACAGCGACTCCTCGGAGACCCATTATGACTCATTGTGACCCTCTTGATCCCTGGCACTACATCTGTAAACATCCTTAAACATCCCTCCAAGCTGCGGGCCAGTGTCAACCTTCAACCCGAAAATCCCCAGGCCTTTCTAAGCCCTAAAGGCATCTAAAGGGATGTAAAGGGATGCATGGCTTGACACATTTCAGAATCCGCTAGAAGTTCTAGAAGTTCTAGAAATTCTGAACCCGAAACCATTGTGGGGCCATGGTACCAGCAGCGGCTTTGGCACTATAGACGGGGATCTTCTTCCCCCCATCTTGAAGAGCAAGCCATAGCTTTCAACCTTCCAAGAGAAAACCGCATATATGCGTATGTGATACCACAGAGTACTGTGATACCAGCATACATGATTATTGTAACACCAACAAATGTGCGGCATAATCTGGTATAAGAGCGCCACAACGCAGACTTCATGGGCATGATGTTCGGCAAACCGACGGCATCTAATACATGACCATACGCGTGCTGACCACAATATAAGAATAAAACCAAGCTCCCTCAGCGACGATCATCCCAAACGTGACAAGAACCACGGAACCGAATGCAAACACGTCCAAATCACACGTACGTCGCGTAGAGTACAAGCACCATGCACGACACAATTCGCGGAAGTCACGTTCGAGATCCCAACTGACAAACAACACTATTTCTTCTCCGTGAGCTTGCCACATTCATGAGTTCCGCCTTAGCTTGCCACGTTCCCAGACCCTAGTGCGCCACATGTCCACTTATTCCCCCCCCAAAGGACGGTCGCGGCACCAACGGCTGCGGATGCCTGCGAGCGCCTGCGAACGCTTGCAGACACGAACGCGGACGCTTCCGAACACAAACGGGACGATTTTGGTCACCTCCCGGACCCCTGGACCCCACCAGCTTGCCACGCATTCGGCAAAAAGTTACTGTACATCAATCCGCCAATCATGGTCAGTAATGCGGGGGGGTTGAACCCTAACCCTTGAACCTTTAGAAACGCATATAAGCCCGTAGAAATCATTAACACGCCTTATCACAGCTCATAAAGCCTCATAGACTGTACACCCAAAAATATGTTTGAGGATGGGTGTCGATTTCTCGCGTCTGCTTGCCTTGGTGTTGAAGTTCTCCGACGCCCCGATTGCGAGACCGACAGATGCGCCCAGCGTCGAGGCCTTCCCCGTGATATCCTGAGCGCAGCTGTGGTGAATTGCAATGAGCTTGTCTAGTACAGCTTACCAGCACCTATCTAATCTTAGCAATCTTACATGTACGAGAGTCATTTACAAACATGTACGTGATAGAGCCTCATGAATGACAAGCTGGTTTTGGCTTTCGTCTTGTTTCCAGGATGGAATAAGGTGGCCATGGCAGTCCTGAACAGAAACGTAGATTATCTGTTGACTTTGGTCTGTGTTTTGCTTCGGCGCCATAATTCAAGCAGATTGAACCTGGCGTCGTGTTGGACCCACGCACTTGCGTGACGTTGCAGACATGCCAACCGTCACAGGGACTTGGCACGGCCGTCCTCGTAACCATCATCCTTTCTGGAACCTCAGATCCGTGTCGCATTGGCGTGTCGGGTCGCCGTCCTCTGTTGTTGTTCCTGGAGCCTCACAGCCTTCTTAGGTCACGACGGAAGGGGCATGTCAGGGCCGCGATCTTCCAAACTCTCACACCCCATCGTTGCGCCTTTCGTTGCGCCTCGTGTGGTGCCTCGTGTGGTGCCTCGTGTGGTGCCTCGCGTGGTGTCTCGCGTGGTGTCTTCGCGTGTCTCGCATCTTGTCTGTGCGTCACATCATCTCCGGAACGTACTCGTATGTACTCGTGTCTTGTCTCACGTCATGCCTCGTGCCAATTCTATCCTGCCCTTACACTGCGTCTTCATGTTCTTGTCCACATTCGGGTGCGTGCGTGGCTGTTGACAAGCTACTCCAAGTTGCTTTCTTTCAGGCCTTCCTTCGTCATTGCATCCTTGCTTTCTTGCTTCCTCCCTTCCTTTCCTTCTTCTCCCTTTCTTTCCTGAGAGACCACGACCCCGGTGACTGTCGTTACCTCCCAAAGAAAAACTGCAATCATTGTGGAACTTGTCATTTTGGAAGCCAGAAATCAGCAGTTTCTGCAACTCTGTGTTTTAGTCACTTTTGCAAGCCGGAAGTCGCGAAGAATAAACAGCAAAGGTGGAATTCCAGTCAAAAACGTACCCTTCCATGCAAAAACGCCACAAACCGAACACTTGACTACTGAGCATCTTTGTCTGCGCCAAAATTGAGGGCAACGTGCGTGGCAAAGTAGCCATTCGAGTCACATTACTATTTGTTGGCAGGGTAGAAGAAAAGCCTTGCTTAATTCCAAAAACAATTGGTACAATAACCAGTACAATAGCCCCTATGACCCGAGCCCATTCTTTCAGCGGCAAGCAAGTGGAACTGGAATGACAGCATCCGCAGCATAACCAGACTGTAATCAGGACACAAGGGAGCCCACTCCCTAACGAAGGGGACCCAAAATGCGCAAAAAATCTGTGCAGAACTGATAACTTTTGCAAGTCACACCCAATGCGGGAGCTGGACGATGAACGCACCGGCAATGTGGCCCCAAGCCATGCCGCTGAGTCCGAAGATCAGCTCCACTACAACCCTAGGTCAGGGATGTTCATACATGTTTTCCAACATATCTGTATGTTATATATATATATACTACCTATATATTAACGACGGTCTAAATACCTTTCATGCTGAACGTTGCGCAACATATGAGGTGGGCCCCTACCGTGTTGCAGTGCTGTTGCGTCCTTGTGATGCATACATCCAGACATACAAAATACATACACACATGCACCTTGACACGTATGGGCTTGTACATGTAGATATGCACCCGCCTAGCTAGCGACCCTTTAACTAAACCCTAAACCCTTTGTCAACCCTGAGTCCGAAATCCTCGCCCTTGAACCCTAAACTCTAAGGGCTTGTACTTGTGGATGTTGACTCCACGGCATGAAAGTGGGCCCTGGCCTTTCGTTGGATAGCTCGGATATCGTTTGAGGTATCGTTTGTGGCTATCACTTTGGGTATGGGCTTTAAAGCCTTTGGACTGGCAGCAGTAACAGTAGCCGTACAAGTACAAGATCCGAACAAGAAAAGTTGGCATTGTTTTAGGGTGAGCCCCTATCGTTTTTCAAGCACAACATACAAAACACAAACAACAGGCCGAACCCATGCCATCTGCCTACATAATGAAGCGGGCGAGTGTTTTGGCCGCTGCTCATACACATAAATACATATATATATACACACATACATACATACATACATACATGCATACATGCATACATGCACACGTACAGAGATATATAGCGCATCATAACAGGATAACAAACTCACGACAGTACCACATAATGGCATACACTACATTTCGCTTGCAGAACAAGTACAAAGCCATGGCAAGAAAGTGTCATGCTGATGTTATAGTACCAGAAGAAAAGTCGTCCAGAAAAGCAATTCTACAACAGAATCATGCTGTGACGTTATTGCAACCCAGCATTGAAATTCCATCACATCTCGATAGTTATTTCTGTAGCATAAACAAGCAGTATCACAGTTTGGTCAGAACGGTATCTACGTTTGCAGCATAAGGGTTGTAATCTTTCTGGTTCCTCTACTGCAGCACATATTCCTTGGCACAGGCATCAAGAGCTCAGAATTGTGAACCATCTCGAGGGCCTAACATCTCGAAACATCGCGAAACATCCAAAACCCTAAACCTCCAAACCCCGTAAATGGGGAGCCAGAGGCGCATGCCGACGCGGAAGTCGCCGATCTTCACGAGGGCATCGCACTTCAGGAATGGAGAGCCTGTTAGGCTTAGAACGCTTCAGGGCTTGCTAATGATTATAAAATTGGTAGTGTTTACATTTTAGGAAACATTGCAAGTTCAAGTTTCAGAGCTTGGGGTATCTTAGAATATTTTGGTGCATTTTGACGTATTTTGACGCCTTTTGTCGTCTTTCGGTGTATTTTGCTGTATGTTGGGAGTTTACCGTGTTCTTAGGGTAGTTTGAGGAAGGCTGGGGCCTGTCGATGCCCGTCTGCCCGCACTCTGCGCCTGCTCACGGGAGCTTCGAGCGATTTCGGGATGCAACCATCACACTGCTACCATATCATACAACATATCATACTATCAAGCGGCTATACTACTTTTCCATTGTACAGCGACGCGCTACTGTACTGTCTTGCGGCACCTGGAGTAACGAAAATTGGTTCTTCCCAATGTTTTCAAGTGCTCTGGTGACGCTCTTGAAGGCATTCATGAAGCCGGTGGAGGCAGCAGGACCGCCTTCCGCAATCGCATAGCGGACAGCTGCCACGATGCCTTTCAACGGTGCTCGTGCCACCTCTGGCAGGCAGAAGCCTGGGACGGACACATCCATGAAAGGCGTGGGCAGCTTGTTCTGATACTTCTTCGAAGCACATTGCTTCAGCTTGTCTACGACCGCGTCGAAGTTGTCAGAAATCGTCCAGACCTGAGGGGCCTCATCGAAGAGCTTCTGCAACTGATTCCAAGCACCGCAATCGGAAATCGAGAGTTGATGCCATCTGGTGCGCATAGGCTGTTGATAAAGCCATATCTCTGAACAATGTTAGTCGCCTCCTGTGCCGCGCCTGAAAAAAAGTCTTTGATTGAGCCCACCGTGCCATCGACCTGCGTCTGAATCGACTCCATGGCCTGGAAACCTGCATTCCCTTGGGCCTCCAAAGCCTTCACGCCTTTCAAGCCCTGGTCACTCAACTTTTGCAAGTTCTCGCTGGCCCAGCTCCCCACAAAGTCCCCCAGCTTTGAGAGGCTTCCTTCAAGCTTCCGCCTACAGTCGTCGACAGATGTGCACAGGATCTCGCCCATGACGTTTCGCACGTCCTGAGGCAGAGAGTTTTTCACATTGCTGACGATCTCTCTCAGGCAGCTGTCGAAGGATGGTTATCGTGCTGCAAGTACA